GACCCGGAGGTGACGCCGGGGTGCACGCTGACTCGACAGAGACCCCCTTCCTGCTGCTGTGCTGTCCTGTTGCAAACTCCTCAGGCTTAACGCAGGTGATGGGGTGAGCTCGGGCTGTAATTAGCTCCTTTTAGCCCAGCTCGTTTCAACCTAACAAGCACGGCCACCAGAGCAGCTTGTGGTCCTCCTCTGTGTTGGTTTGGGAGGACCAGGCTTGCGTTGCTGCTGGATGTGCTAAAGGAGTTTCTCTCCAGCGAGCTCGGTGGTGGGACTCTGGCTGCGGTTCGAAGGGAGATGGATGCTTTGCCCTGGGACTGGTTTTGTAGGTGCAGGCCAGACACATCGAAGCTCCTCAAGATGAGGAGAGCAGCCTTTCTGCTGGGGTGACGAGGCGTCAGAGTTATTGCTCTGAACCTGCCTCTGAGATGGGGGGAACCAGAGTGGGTCTGGCCGTGTGGGGAGGGACTGTGCCCTGCCGCTGGCTCCGAATCACCGAATTACGCAGCACGCCTCTCCGCAGCATGCTCTCCGGCCCTCCGTCCTCGCCCATGGGGGACGTCATGCAGACCCCCCAGTTCCAGCTGCGCCGGCTGAAGAAGCAGCTGGCTGTTGAGAGAGAGAACCGGGATGAGCTGGAGGTGGAGCTGGCAGAGAATCGCAAGCTCATCACGGAGAAGGGTCAGTTGGTAGCGGGACGTCCTGGGGTGTGGGGAGGGCTGTCCGGGGCTGAAAAATTGTCTGGTTCCTGTGATTTTTGTTATGGTTTTGACCCAACCATGACTGTGCTTGTGCACGGTCCATCCTGATGGACCCCAAGTGAGCGTAGCTCACAGCTTTGGAGCTCTCTGGCTTTCCAGCGCAGACAGGGCAGCTCAGGGTTTGCCGTGCCTTGCTCCGTGGTGGGCCAAGGGGACACGTACCCGTTAATCTGGACCAAAGTGTGAAGCACAAAGCTTTGCTGATGGGAGCCAGGACAGCTCCGACACTGGCGTAACAGCTCTGAGCATCTCTCAGAGATGGCTCTTGGTCCCTCTGCCAAAGGATTTGAGCAGGCCGGCAGGCGTAGGAGTCGCGCCATCCGCATCTAAAACACTGTCCGCACTGAGGATTTCCCCAGGCGCAGGCGGACTTGCAGATTCCTTCTTCCCTCCCGTATTCCCTATATGTCACGGGCAACTAAAGCCACGACTGAAGCAACAGCCGCGCTGAGCAGCCTGGCTCTTCCCTCTCCTGCTTCAGGTGGTGTCTGTGCAGCTCCCCAACAGCTCGGGAGAAGGACAGACATCCTCCACTGCGCTGTGTTTGGAGGGGGGGGTTCAGGTGATGTAAAAAGATGGTAACGGGCCCTTTCTCGCTGCCCTCCCCAGACGCGCAGATCACCATGATGCAGCAGCGGATTGACCGCTTGGCTCTGCTCAACGAGAAGCAAGCCGCAGACCAGCGGGAGCCCAGGGAAGTGGAGGAGCTGAGGGAGAAGAACGAGAGGTAATCCTCCGGGGACATCTGCTCCCTCCTTCTAGGCTGGTCCTTGTCGCTCCTGCATCCCCGGGCTCCGTGTTGTCTGTCTCTTCCCCAGCAATGCACAAAACAGGGGTGAGGGAAAACCTTCCTGCTGTTCTCTACCGCCTCCCCTGCAGCTGCGCCCCAGGGAGGAGACGGCTTTGGCACTCATAGAATCGTAGAACAGTCTGGGTTGGGAAGGACCTTAAAGGCCATCTAGTCCAACCTAGAAGGAGAGGGAGGAGAAGGGCCCCCACGCTTCGCCCTCCAGCCAACAGCTCGGCACTGGACAGAGCTTTTGAAATTAAAGAGGATCCCTCAGTGCTGAGCCCAGGTCCTGCCCAAACCCATCTCAGGTCTCCTGATCCCCAAGTCCAATCACTTAATTCTGGCTGCTGGTGTCGTGATTTAGAATCACAGGATGGTTTGGGTTGGAAGGGACCTTGAAGATCATCTCATTCCACCCCCTGCCCTGGGCAGGGCCACCTCCCCCCAGCCCAGGTTGCCCCAAGCCCCGTCCAACCTGGCCT